TCTGAAGCTCTAGAATCCTTTGAGTAGAATTGAGTGTTACCACAACTGGGCCAAACTCAACTCTTTTTCATGAATTGGAAGAGGAGTGCAATAAAGATGAACCTGATTAGTAAAAACCTCCTGGATGTTTTGGAGAGGACTAAATAAAAAGTAACTTTATCCTCTCAGGGGGTAACACTACAATCATTTAACTTAAGAGATGAAATGATTCACACACACACTTACACACACACACACACACACACACACACACACACACACAAAATGGCAAAAAAAAAATGTTTTCCAAATTATTATAAATACTTGCTCTCTTTGAAGAGTTGGCAACTTTTATGTTGTATCAAAGGACCGTAAAAAGCAAGACAGAAAAAGTATCGTGCCTCGTGCTCTTCACAAGTCTGACTTCCCTACAGGTAAGAAAAGCACCTGTGGAATGGATCTTATTGCTCTTGCAGGGCTAAACTTTTAGGAAAAGGCTAACATTTAGGAAACAAAGAGCAAGATTCTGAAATCGGCAGTGCCTTCCTTAAAGAGGTAGCTTGAGGTGACCTGGGATTTGAGAAGATGGAATACTTCTTCCTCCTTAAAATCAGATACAGAGCCTATGGGTTTTGAATTAAAAGTGGTGTGTGTGTGTGTGTGTCCACCCAGCGGTCATTTCCTGATATCCTGGCTTGTGCTTACATGCGATCATTAGCATTTTTTCATGGCTAGCCAGTCCTGCATTGTCCAGACTAACTGAAGAGAGAGAAAGCCCATGCTAATTGCGATTTAACACCAGCCAATTCAGCCATGGATAATCCCCAAATTCCACTTGAGCCATCCAGACTGCTTAAATACGCGGTTGTTATTTTTACCAGAGCTGCTAACAAGTAGCACATTGGTTTTAATTCCACTTCCTCTCCCCTTCCTTTGGAGCCAGGCAATATGGAGGGAGACCCAGGAGCTGCACAGCTCTCGGGGCTGGTGGGAGAAGCGGGGGCAGGGAGGGAGGAAAGGTAGTTTTAAGAGGCCTGCCTGAAAAAACAACACACTGGAATGCCCTCTCAATAACTATAATTTCTCTAGACCCATTTCCGGCCATTCCTTCCCTCTTCCCTATTCAGGAAAGCACGGAGCTCAGAGTTCAAAGTTAGAATTGTTGGGGACTTCCCTTTTGTGACAGTCTCTTCTTGGGGCCCAAGATTCAGGGGTGATGCGGGGGTGCTCAGACCTCAGAGGAAGTTGACTGAAGGGCAGGGTGGGGGATAAAAGGAGACAGGGAGAAAGTGGGATCAGTGGGCAGTGAGGACCAGCTCCAGGAGCTGGGCTGGGGGCTAGCAGAGGAGGAGGCAGCGCAGGGCTGCTGGGGTCCGAGTGGGCAGGCTGCGGTCTAGTCTTGGCCACATGACTACCTCACTGGCTGACCTTCAGGCAAGTTGCTCTTTCAGTACTTCAGATGCATTTACCACCTCCTTACCTGATTTTACAGAAGACACAGGGGACAAGGGCGAGAACCCTCGTTGATTAACAGTAGTCATGATCACTCTCAGAGAATCACAGCCCTTTCTGAAAAACGGCACTGCATGTGGTAGAAGAAAGCAACCCAACTTGATTCAGACGCATGTCCTCTTCCTGTCATCTAGCTATTCTACAACTGATGACAGGGCGGATGTCCTCAGGTCAAGGGCACCTTCCAGGTGTCAAAGCAGTGCTGTTTAGGTGTGAGGAGGGCCTGGAGCACCCCTCACCGAGGAGAAAGTTGGTTTGTAAATAATGACATCAGCTCCCAGGTCCAGCAATGGCGTCTGTACCATTTTACTACGCCTGGCTAAAGGAATTCTGGGGAATTCCTGGAGAAAACTGCCTCTGATCCACAGCCAGCCAGATACGAGCTGAAAAATCAAAGCCAAGGATGGCTGCACCCCCAGCCCCAGGCCAAGTCGCACTGCCTGTCAAATACGCCAAGGCCCATGATACCGTCAGTCCTGGGCTTGCCCGGAAGGATGAGGTTCCGAGAGAGGAAGAGATTTAAATTAAGCGTGGAGAGTGCCTCTTGATTATGAGGGGTCGGCTGATCCCATCTGGAGGTTACCTAGGCTTCTACATAATTCTTCCCTTTTCTGTCAATCCACTTGGTCAAATTCCTTCATAACAAAGAAAAAAGGGCCCTTCACTCAGATCAGCCCCAGCCCACTGAGCCGGGCCGCGGGTGGACTGGGCGAGTCCCGCAAAGCACATGGCCTTGTACAAGGGCTGCCGCGCTCCTGGTGAGAGGACGGGCCTCTGCCCACAGGTGGGCCAGCTGGCCCGTGTACACGGAGCTCCGGAGACAGCGGCAATCTCTTCCCAAGCAAAGCCATGACAAATAAGTGATTTTTTCCTTTGACATTAGCATCTTCCATGCACCAAAAGACGCTACCCAAAGAGCAAAAAGAGAGCCCAGGAAATGCAAGAAAACAGTTACAAATACCTCCAATAGCACTTGTTATCCAAAAACAGGAATTTGTAAAAATCATGAACAAAACAACAAACAACTGAATTTTTTAGATGATCTGAAATAATCCCTCCTCCAGAAAAGACACACTACAGACATAGCAAAAAGGTGGCAGGTTCGATGACCGGCTGCACGTATCCAGGTTAGGAGTTCGATCACTGGTACGGGCATGTAGGTCACTCACACAGCTTCAATTCCACCATTATGTCATTTTCCTAACCCTTAATAACCCTTATCTTTATACTTAAAACAGCATCTTCATACTTACTCCAAACCTCTGCACTGGCTACCAGGAGGTTCAGACCTCTATTTAGTACTCCGTGATCACTACTTTCTCCTCCTAGGCCTACAAAAAAGTTAAGCAAAATATCTGGCACTCCTAGCTTTCGATAAATCTTTTCATCATTCACTTCTTGGCAGAATAGTGGCTTTTAATTGCATTCTTTATTTTCGTCTAATTTGCATTTAATCGTCTAAGCCACCACAAATACTTTTTATAAGGAGGAATACAATGAAAGGAAAGATATACCTGACTGAAATGCACACATATGTGCACTAAGAGATACATGAGAATGTTCATAGCACTATTCTTCTTGGCCCCAAAGGAGAAACAACTCAAAAGTCCATTACAAGTAGAATAAATCAATATATTGGAGTATATTAATAACGTGAATAGATACTATGCAGCAATGAAAACAAATTTTTACTATATGCAAAAATATGGGTAAATCTCTCAAATATAATATTAGACAAAAGAAGTTAAACAAAAAGTTTAATATATGTTTCGAAGATGAACCAGACTAATTCTTATGATAGAAGTCTGGATTGAGTCACCCTTGGGTAGGGATAGTCATTGGGAGACGGTATAAAGAGGGCTTTTTGAGTTATTTCTTGATCAAGATGCTAATTACATGCATGTGTTCACTTGGTAAAAATTCACCATGTTTTAGGATCTGTGCCACTAACGTTTGCTTTGTATTCAAGTGAATTGGTGATAATGTCCTTTTGAGAACTGGCTGATCAGAGAGTCCTGCCTTGGTAATATAGAAGCCCCAAAACAAATATAACCCAACAGCTTTTCTCTCTTTATAATAAATCAGAAGTAGGATTGTGAACATGTAAAACTAGAAAGTTAAAAATTGATGGTAATAACTGAAGGAATAAGAAATAGTACAGAAATAAATGAAAAAAAGAGAGTAGATATACAATTTAAAAATAAATAAACAAAACCAAAAATTGGCTCTTCAAAAAGATCAGCAAAATTTGATAAAATTTTTAGCTATACTGACCCAAAAAGAGAGAGAGAAAACTCAAATTACTAAAATGAGAAGTGAAAGACAAGACATGACTATACCAACCTTATAGAAATAAGAAAATATATAAGGGTATGTTATGAACAATGGTATGCCAGCAAATTAGATATCTTAGATGAAACAAGCAAATTTATAGAAAGACAAAAACTACTAAAACTGACTCAAGAAGAAACAGGAAGTCTTAATAGACCTATAATGAGTAAAGAGACTGAAGTTGTAATGAAAACCTTCCCGCATACAAAAGCTCAGATGGCTTCACTGGTGAATTCTACCAAACATTTAAAAAACAATTAATATCACTTTTCCACAAACTCTTTTAAAAAGTAGAAGAAAAAGGAATACTACCCAACACATTCTATGAGGCCAGTAGTACCCTAATACTAAAACTAGACAAAAATATCACAGGAAAAACTACAGAGCAATGTATTTTATGGATATTGATGTAAAAACCCTCAACTAATATCTTCATCACCTCTCCAAACTAACAAGTCAAGCTTAGCAACAAATAAAAGAAGTATATATCATGATGAGTGAGATTTAACCAAGAATCCAAAGGTGGTTTAATATCTGAAAGTCAATTAATGTAATATATCACATCACATCACATCACATCAAGAGAATAGAGAACAAAACTCATACAATTATCTCGATAGATGCAGAAAGCATTTGATAGATTTAAAACACCCTTTCATTAAAAAAAATACTCAAACTAGTAACAGAAGGGATCTTCCTCATCCTAACAAAGGCATCTATGAAAACCCATAGCTAACAACAAACTTAATGGTGAAAGAATGGATGCTCTTCACCTCCTAAGATCAGGACCAATAGAAGGGTGTTCACTCTGTCACTTCTATTCAACATTGTACTGGAGGTCCTAGCCAGGGCAATTAGGAAAGAAAATGGAATAAAAGACATCCAGATTAGACAGAAAGAAGCAAAACTAATCTCTATTTGCAGATGACATAATCTTATATATAAAAAAATCCTAAGGAATCTAAAAACTATTAGAACTAATGAATATTCAGCAAGATTGTGGTATACAAAAATCAATAGAATCAACCCAAAAATGAAATTAAGAAAATAATTCAATTCACTATTGCATAAAAAAACTGCACGCACACACACACACACACGCACACACCAATTTAGAAATAAGTTTAACAAAAGAAGTACAAACTTTATACCCTGAAAACTACAAATTGTTGAAAGCAATTAAAGAAAACCTAAATAAATAGAAAGAAGTTGATGTTCATGGATCAGAAGTCTTAATAATGTTAAGATGGCAATACGTATCAAATTGATCTACAGATTCAATGAAATTCCTGTCAAAATCCCAGTTGCATTTTTCTTTCCTGAAATGAACTGACTCCAAAATTCAAATGCAAAGGAAGGTGGGTAGGGAGGACAGCTCAGGGGTTCTGGGCTGATTTTGGCTGATCACCTTCCAATCACTTGCACATGAAAATGTTGTAAAATTGATGGTGGTCATGTAAGCACAACTACATGACTATATTAAAAGCCACTGAATGGTACAATTTCAATAAGTGAATGGTACATATAGTATGTATTACATCTCAATAAAATGGTTAAAAAAAACCAGGTGTGTATCTGTCTGAAATGAAACATGTGACTCAGTAACCAATCCTGGTATGAAAATGGTTCCTTTACCTAGTAACTGCATTTTCTAGATCTGCATGTTGCCTCCACAATTCTCCCTGTACAGATGGGGAAGCTGCTGCTAGAAGAGTCTTAGTGGCTTAGGAAATAGAGAAGCTTGAGCTTTCTGCCTTCGATGCAGGAGGCCACACTGGAACAGCGTCCACACAGAGAGCGCTCCCTCCACCCGTCCTCCACCTGTCCACCTTGATCTGTGCAGGGAGCATGAACTGACTTCCTCAATATACCTGGCACCTTATATGCCTGTCTATTCAGAAGCATCTAAAGCAGAAAAAAAACCAATGTAGGGTCTATTTTTAAGATATAAATATCATCGCCGAAACCGGTTTGGCTCAGTGGATAGAGCGTCGGCCTGCGGACTGAGGGGCCCCAGGTTCTATTCCGGTCAAGGGCATGTACCTGCGGGCACATCTCCAGTAGGAGATGTGCAGGAGGCAGCTGATCGATGTTTCTCTCTCATCGGTGTTTCTAACTCTCTATCCCTCTCCTTTCCTCTCTGTAAAAAATCAATAAAATATATTTTTTAAAAAAGATATAAATATCACTTTCAAAATGAACCCAAATCTACTTCTAAATAGTTCATAAAAAGGGGTCAGCATTGTAAAGTGAGCTTGGGAATGGCAAGAACATATGTTCTATGAATCCAGATAAGGACTCAGGAATAAACAGGCTGTGAATTAGGCAAACTCATGGCTCAACGAGGCCATGAAAAAGGAGGATAAAAATGAAATTAAAATAAGCCCAGGGAAAACGTTAAGAATATGCTCATTTGTCTGAATTTGTACAAGAAAGGCAAACTGATCAAGATGATGAGGGAGAGAGATGCTTAAGAGAACTAAGAGACAGGTGCTTTGAGAAAAGCTGTCCCTTGACAGTGCAATAACCACTTTCAGAAGGTACACGTGTAGTAAAACCCTATTCCCTCCCCCTAACCACCCCTGCCCTCCTCTCCCCCCATGACTATCGGTGCTTTCTCTGGGGCCTGCGGTCTCTCGGCCATTTTTCTAATTTGACAACAGCCGGAGAGGGTTTCCCTCTTTATTTGTACATGTTCCCTTTCCTTCCCGGAGAGATTCTGAAATGCCATCATGCCTTGTCCTTACAAGAACAGGCAAAGATGGGAAGTAAAGGCTCTGAGGGAAAAGTCAAGAAAAAGCCCACATCGTTCCTGCCTGCTTGCCCTTCTCACGGTCTCTCTCCCTCCTTCCCCTCCTTTCCTGGCCTGGGGAGACCCAGGTAGAGGCTACAGCGGTTCACTAGCCCATTATCCTCACAGGTGATCGAGTCCCAAATTTAAAACTTAAAATAATCAAGAAGTTCTAAGGAGACAGCACCTTCCAATCACTCGCACATTAACTCTCCTTCGTATAGCTAATTCAGTTCAAAACAACTTTTCTAAACAAAAAGATGAAGGAATGAAGCAAAGTACAAAGTTAACTTGCTGGCTTTACAACTAGCTTTCTCACTGACTGCATACAACGCCGGGCTTCTTCCGACAAATGGACTGAGGAGTCAAAGACCAATAGCAACGGGTGAGATGGGAGCCTTCCCCTCACCGGTGCACAGACGTTTGCTGAAAGTGTGAGGAATAATGAGGTGCCTCGCTTAAACTGGTCAGTGACACTTCTTCATCGGGTTTTCTTTCAGGGGGAAAATATCTGCCCTCGAACTTCCACTCATCGTTGAATTTTCCCAAAGCTTCCCTCCCATCCCCTGACATATAGATGAGGAATCAGCTCCCATACTTCTCTCCTGAGTAGACGCGGGCTTTCCGGCTGAGGCTGTAGGTTTTTGTGTTGGCTCCTTTTCGGAGAGGGTCGTCCAGAGGCGACTGGCACGGCGGGTCCTCCAGAGGGTTCCAGTAGCTCTGTTCACACATCCCCCGTAACAGGATCTCCGCCAGCTGCCTCGCTATGGTCTGGGACACAAAGGGGCAAAGGCATAGCATGAATCTGTTTTGTATCATTCAGTCACCCGTCTGCTCAATATTGTTCAGTCATCACTTTGTATTACGCACTCTTCCAAGGCTCATAATGAAATGTTTGGATGAAATTATATCAGTTGATGACAAAACGAAGACAGGATGCACTAAGATATTTGGACAATTTAAAAAAGTAAGCTCATGCCCTTCAAATGCCACCTGCCTCGGCTGCACTCTGGAACACTAAACCTGTTTTATAAGTGAAACTTTCGGTTAAGCTCTTTTTCAAAAACCCTTATAAATAACAGGTGAACTGCAAATATTTTCATCACCTCCCAAACGATGCCTGCTAAAGCCCACACTTGGCAAAAAGCCACTACTCAACCATCGATCATTCGCCTCCTGCACATCCCCCACCGGGGATGTGCCGGCAACCCAGGTACATGCCCTTGACTGGAATCGAACCCGGGACCCTTCAGTCCGCAGGCCGACGCTCTATCCACTGAGCCAAACCGGTTTCGGCCGCACGTGGTATTTTGTGGAAGAGCCACACTCAAGGGGCCGCAGTTTGCCGACCACTGACCTAGGTGATGTTATCCCTGAAAAAATCTCTGCTTTGATGATAAGATGACGTCCAGCGTAGATTTTCAGACTGTCTTCCTCCCTAGGATGCCACGCCTGGTCCTCCATGGCCCCACCCTGGGACCCCGCTCCTGCGAGCCCTGTTCTCGGGGACCCTGGAACCCTGCAATGGAGGAGGCCAAGGGGGGCGGGGTATGGCTAATGATCACGAGAGGCCTTTGTCCAGCGTCAGGGAGGCATCTCCTTCCTCACCGTGAAAACCCAGGAGTGCCTGGTCCTCCTGAATTCGATGCAGATACTACCTTCTCCCAACTCCAGCTCCACCGCCCACAGCAGCCCAGAATGATGTATGGGGGGAGGAGCACGCAGCTTCTACTAAGAAGTATTTTGTTGACTGATGCATATTAGTTTGTTTCCAATGACAAAACAAGAGGAAAGGTAAAAACAAAAAAAGAAGAAAGAAGAAAACCCTTCTGAAAACAGAAGCACTGCACCTCAGGTGGCCCATGATCAGCCAGAGGCGGCAAAAGAAACCGTCCACCAGCAGCTTTTCCAGGAGGTCTCAGCGCTCTGCAAGACACAAAGGATGCTGATCTTCCCTGCAAAGGAGCCTTTTTTAATAATCTGTTCCAGAGGAGACCTCTGCTAGGCTTCCATCCATGTGAAATCTCTTTAAATGCCGCGAGGAAACTTAAACACAACCAAATCACTAGCTTAGTGGTTTCTGATAATCACTGTGTAAAGGCAAATTTTCTTGATTATTCTCAAGTAAGACTCATTGGCTTTAACTGTCTATAAAAATGTGAAATTAAACCACTCCTATCATCCCCAACTGAGCCATCTGTAAAGCTCTCTTAAGAACACAATTTCCAGGGCCTAAACGATTCCTGAACTGTTTTCTTAAACCTTCCGCTCTAGTTTCACTTGGACTCACTGCAGTCATATAGCTAATGACTTCTGCTGGGAGCGTCGATGGGCAAAAATTACCTGCGCTCCTGGCAGCTGAGCAAAAAAAGGATGCCAACAGGGAAAAAAGGCACAAGGACCTTCATTTTCTGGATATGGACGGATTCTAAAATGATAAAAACTTCTGCCCCACACAGTTTGCTTGTCCACTACTAGATCGCAATTCCCTTGGGGCATTACCCTTCCAGAGAGACCTTTAAGGTAGGTTTTGATGTGTGCATATTCTAAAGGCACCCATCACTTCACCAGTGCCCTACCGATGAGAAAGGATTTCTGCTTGCATTCATTGAAAGCTCAAATGACGTTCAGGAAGAATGATTAAATATGAGAAATTATCAGCAAGATCACCAATATTTATCATACCTTTTGTTTTATTTTTAATTTTTTAAAAATGTATTTTTACTGATTTCAGAGAAGGATGGAGAGAGATAGAAACATCAATGATGAGGGAGAATCGTCGATTAGCTGCCTCTTGCACGCCCCACAATGGGCATCGAGCCCGGAACCCAGGCATGAGCCCTGACTGGAATTGAACCGTGACCTCTTAGTTCATCGGTTGAGGCTAAACCACTGAGCCACGCCAGCTGAGCCATATCATTTATTTTTTACCTGAAGGTTGCATTTAGCTTGCAGTTTAAATGCTTAAAAACTGCTGGTAACTATCAAATGAAGTCAGAATTAAAGGAAGGAAAGGAAGAAAAGGGGCCCGAAAGAAGACTCGAACTTTTACATATAAACTCAGTCATGAAATGCACTTTTTTGTATGTATTTTAAAGTGTAATAAAATTCGCATAAGATCACCATTTAACCATTTCAAGTGTGTACAATAACGGCATTTAGTACATTCACAGTGTTGTGCAATCACCACCACTCCCTGGTTCTAGAACATTCTCATTACCCCCACTGAAACCCCAAACCCTTTTAAGCAGTAAGTCCCATTTCTCGTCCTTCCACACCCTGGAAACTACTCATCTGCCTTCTGTCTCTGTAGATTTGTCCAGCTGGGGTATTCTCCTGTAAGTGGAACCAGATAATGGGTGGCCTTTGTTTCCGGCTTCTTTCACTCAGCACAATGTTTTCAAGGTCCGTCCTCGCTATAGCATGTGTCAGTGCTTCATTCCTTTTTATGGCTGAATGCTATTCCATTTACGGCAGCACCACTATTTGCTTACCGAGCTGTCAGCCGACAGACACTTAGATTGTGTCCATCTTTTGGCTGTTGTGAATGGTGTTGTTATGACCATTCATGCACAAGTTTTTGTTTGAACACCTGCTTTCAATTCTCTCGAGTATTTATCTAGGAGTGGCATTGCTCTAAGTGTACTTTTAAATCTTTCTCTACTATGGTCTCACACCAAATTGAGTTTGACAAAGCAACTTTCCATCTCATATGAATACCACAAATTTGCAATTATCGGCTAATCTAAAAAGAACCAAATGGCTATTAAGACCAATGAAAACCCTATCTGATGAATGGCAGTAGCTGGAGAGGCTTTCTGAGGTCCAGTGTAAGCCAAGACACCAGGAAATAAGACCCAGGAAGCGCCTCTCAGTGGGGGTGGGCTAAGAATCACTGCCCAGCACCACCCAGCTGGCATTTCTGAGGCAGGCACAGGGATGTGGACAGGGTGGGGCAAAGGGAAATTTACAGTTGTTCCCATGGAAAGTAACACAATAATTAATAATTAATAAATACAATAATAAACATTGTGTTTCCCCTACTCACAGCTGTAAGCCTACTTTTGCCCAACTTGTATTTAAGTTTATCTCCAAGAATTCTGACACATTCCTTTAAAAAAATATATATGTATTTTTATTGATTTCAGAGAGGAAGGGAGAGGAAGAGGGAGATGGAAACATCAATGATGAAAGAGAATCATTGATCGGCTGCCTCCTGGATCAAGTCCACAACCCGGGCATGTGCTCTGACTGGGAATCAAACCAGGAACCTCCCACTTCTTAGGTTGGTGCTAAACCATTAAGCCATACCAGGCAAGATTCACACACTTTTGGTTAAGTATTCAAGGAATTAAAACAATTTAACTTAGGTCACAGGAGGATCATCAACCAAGATCAAAGGTCTACTCTCATTTTGTTCTGTTGAAATATATTTTTATTGATTTCAGAGAGGAAGGGAGAGGGAGAGATAGAAACATCAATGATGAGAGAGAATCATTGATAGGCTGCCTCCTGCATTAGGGATCGAGCCCACAACCCAGAAATGTGCCCTGACCAGGAACTGAACTGTGACCCCCTGGTTCATAGGTTGACACTCAACCACTGAGCCACGTTGGCTGGGCTAGTCCCCTCATAGTAACACTGACCAGTCAACAGCTAAGAATGTCCAGGGGCAGCTCCAGTCTACCCAGACTTTCTTTCAAGGCCTCTTCACTGTAATTCTCAGAAAACAAACAAAGAAACCTGTCTTCCTTCCAAATGTATATCTATTTATAAGTTCAAACATATTAATTTAAAAATCATAAGCCTTGTAATGAAAGATATTCTCTAATTCTGAAAAATACCATTGAAGTTAGCAGCAGGCAGATTCCAACAGTGTATTCAATACAGTCGCTCTTTTTAATGAGAAAAAAAAACCATTCGTTTCCTTAATGAATCAATATATATTTTTGAGAGACGATAATATGAACAAATGCTCCATATGTAAGCAATTTTAAAAGATAGGCTTTTTCAATGTGCTTGAAAAAGTTATAAAAACATTTGCTAACATAATCAGTTACTTATATTATGCTTCCAAATTTTGGAAAAAGCTGTTATATTGACCAGCTGAGAAGTTTTATGGAATGTTGGCAGTAGATCAATGAGGGGGAAAAAAGGCAATGATTTTTATCCATATTTTGCAGTGGTTTCCACTGTAAAACATGGATAAAAATTACTACAAATTGAAAGACTTTGAATTTCTTGAGGCACCTATAAATTGTATGATTATGTAAATAAATATTGAAGACCAAGTGAGTTGTTGGTGGGGGAGGTATGTGTGAAGTCCATCTTCTCTCACCCCCATACTCCCAGGAAAGCCTATGGCTTAGCCATCTGGCCCCATGAGTTATATGTCTGCATCTAAAACTCTGGAGACATCAAACGGAAGATACAGCCTTGTTTCTGTGACAGGAATCCGTAGCCTGGCCCCAGGGCATGCTCTCCTACAGTATTTAAAGGATTTGTGATCATGGGAGGACAATCGCACTGATGACAGAAGACAAAAGAAACTGCGATCTTACACGGGGTTTCTGCATCAGTGGTGACAGGCAGCATTTGCTCCCAGTAAGCACCAGGCCTTTGCCCAAACCCTCACTCAATGGCTATGGCTCTGAAGGGCAAGCTATGAAGGTGTGATGAATGTCTCCAGGAAGGAAAGGGAAAGGATTAAAAAGGAAGAGAGAGAAGTCAAGTCAAAAGGAGAGCCAAATGGCTGATCAACCCGTTATTTAACTTCTAAGTTTTACAGCCAATACTAGAGGCCCAGTGCACGGTCCCTAGGCCTGGCCTGCGATCAGGGCCATCTTCCCCAGCTGCCTGCAGCTGGCCCTGCCCCCTGACACCGCCCCCTCACCCCCATTCGCCATCAGGTGATCGGTGCCTGATGGCCTGGGGAAGTGACCAAGAGGTCAGCTGTTCCCGCCTGCTTGCTGGCCCTGCCCCCCACCATGGGTGGCCATCAGGAAAAGGGACCAAGAGGTGGTCAGTACGCCTCATAGTGACTGGTCCAGCGGTCATTCTGGTCGTTCTGCCATTGAGGTCAATTTGCATGTTACCCTTTTATTATCTACACTAATAAAAGAGAAATATGGTAACTGGCGTACGACCGCTACCCTTTTCATTGGCTAATCAGGGTGATATGCAAATTAACTGCCAACTAAGATGGCAGTTAACTGCCAACAAAGATGGCGGTTAACTGCCAACAAAGATGGCGGTTAATTTGCATATGTAGGCACAATGCAGGGAGGGGAACGGGAAAGCAGGAAGAAGCCCCCTGCCACTGACAGTGATCGGAAGGAAACCCAGGGGGCCCGCCTTTGCCCTGCCCCCAGCCATTATCGGAGAATTGGGTGCCTTTGTCGCCCTGGCCAGTGATAGCAGGAAGTAGGGGTGGAGCCAGCGATGAGAGCTGGGCAGGGTCGAAGCTGGCAGGCAGTCCTGGGAGCTAGGGGTCCCTTGCCTGGGCCTAAAGCGGAGCCTGCGATCACAGGGCCACTGCAGCTGCGGGTCCACGCTGCCCAGGCCGGACGCCTCC